AGGCTCGAGGAGACTGCTTTAGACCATAGAGGGACCGGCTCAACCGACATACAAGGCCACTAGACTCCCCTTGAGCAACAAAACCAGGTGGTTGCTCCATATAAACCTCATCCTCAAGGTCATCGTGAAGAAAAACATTCTGAATGTCCAACTGATAGAGGCCAATGGCGAACAACAACCATGGATAGAAAAGGTGGACTGATGCTATTTTAGCCACGGGAGAAAAAGTATCACTGTAATCGAGCCCAAATATCTGAGTATACCCTTTGGCAACAAGACGAGCCTTAAGTCAATCAACCTGACCATCTGGACCAACTTTTACCACATAGACCCAACGACAACCATCAGTCGATTTACCCGAAGGAAGAGGAACAAGCTCCCAAGTACCACTCGTATGTAAAGCAGACATCTCGTCAATCATAGCTTGTCGCCATCCTCGATGAGACTGTGCTTCACCTGTAGACTTAGGTATGGAAACAGAGGACAAAGATGATATAAACGCACAATGGGGTGATGACAGACGATGGTAACTTAGGCCGACATAATGGGGATTAGGATTAAGTGTGGATCATATACCTTTCCGTAGTGCAATTGGTTGACTAAGAGGAGACAAGTCCGCAATATTAGCTGGGTCAGGTGCATGACGTGAATTAGGTGGGCCTGATGCTGGGCACGGACGACGATGATAAGTCAGAAGTGGTGGAGCTGCACAAGGTTGAACTGGACTAAGTGGTGGAACTGAAGCTATAGGTGGTGGAGCTGGAGTTGTTGGTGTTGTGCAAAAACCAACTCCACCACGAGGTAAATCACCCTCTGGCGACCAACCTCGAAAGAAATCTCCGCCAGAATACCTTTCACGCGCCCTCACGCGCTGCTGACAGTGAATTTTCCGGCGACACCTCCGATCCACGCACTGACACGTGCAGGTTGTTCTAGCCATTTTTTGGCCCAGGTTCTTTAAGACAGCCTGTCCATATAATTTTCTTTCTAATCCGACAACTTTAGATTTTTTTCGGCGAGCTACAGTGTTTTCCGGCGTGAATAGTGTTTTCCTCCTGTCGTGAACAGTGTTTTCCCAGCTATTTCATCAGTTTTCCCATAGGAGTTATTGATTTCTACTATTTCAAGTGAAGACCTTGATTTTCAGCTCCATCTGACTAAGAAAAAAAATAAGTGTTCTGATTTGGTATTCCAACGTTAACCATACAACTTTTTTAGTCAAGAATTTGAGAAATTGGTTGTAGCAAACTGGGATCCAATACTATGAATAGTTGGATGATCTATATATCGGATTATATTGAGTTCCTTCAGTACAAAGCGTATAAACATACATCTTCAGAGATGGTTTCCGTTGTTCAAACAGGTAATAGCGTGACTTGTGTCTTCCAATCTTCATCCTCCGAGTCTTGGGTCATTGCTTCAGGTGCATTTGATCACATCTCTGGTTACAAATCTCTTTTCACTACTATTTTATATTCTCAATCTCTTCCAACAGTTACAATGGCCAACGGGTCTCAAACCATGACAACTGGAATAGGTCAAGCAAGTTCACTTCCTTCTTTACCTTTAGATTCGGTTCTCTATGTTCTCGGTAGTCCTTTTCTCATAGCCGTTAGTCGCTTAGCCAAATCACTTATATGCTCTTATATCATGTGAGAATGCACGGAAGAAAAATCTATTATTTATTTTAATTGTCATACAATAAACCCTATTTATAAGTACACATAATATATAACCTATTCCTATTACCTATGGGACTAGGACTAATTACATATATATTCACATAGCTATTCTAACAATGACTTGGATTGAGGCATAGTTGGTTTTTTGTTATTTAAGCAGTCCTTTAAAGATGAACTCTTTAGCATAGTCTTCCACTATGTATTCTTTGAAATGCATGTATCCTCATAACTAGGTGTTGGAGACGTTGTATAGAGAAAACATATAGATAAGTGGATATTGTTGCAATGCTACAGAGCCCTTGAGTTTTATTATTCATAAAATGAAATGTTTTACAACTTTGCGAAGGATAGGGTGCAAACTGAAATAAGATGCAAATATTAGGGGGATAATCATAATAAATAAAGGAGTGCACAAATTAAAAAATGGTGCACAGAATAAGGCAAAATAAAACAAGGATAGGGTGCAAATTTTTCAATGGTGCATACATTAGGGGTACAAAATCAAAAGAACTCAAGAAGTGCCTCTAATACGCTAATTAGGTTATGAGGATAGCTAGAAACAGAGCTTAGGGACTGGAGGCCACTTTGACACCATCACCAGATAGCATTTTTCTCAACTGATTACGAGAAGTATTTTGTTTATTAGGAATAGACTAAATAGGGGCATTTTTCTGATTCTCTAGGGTGATGGCGATAGAGTTCTTGGGGATGGTTAAGGTCAATTAACCATTTTAGTTGCTTTACTTATGGTTCAAAAAGATACTATGCAAACTGGTGTATCTGTTTGGTGAAATGCAGTCTGCTGTAGTAATGGTGTAGATCTAGTAGACCATCAGTTTCTTTTTCTTAAAGATAAGGTAAAGGGACCATCATTTCCTTTTCTCTGCGGGGTAATACATGTTAAATTCGACGCTTAGAGCAGTCAATAGTGGAAGAACCATTTCATGGTTCCAGTGAACTGATTTAGATTCCCCCTCATTTATGTATACTAGTCTTATGGTACGCGCTTCAGGCGTGTACTTAAGTCAATGAATATACGACCTTTTAGAAAATTGTCGAAGTACTATTAAATATAATATGTTTGTACTATAAAATAAAAATTATTTTATGCTCCTTAAAATATGTATAATTTTAGTTGAAAAGGATTAAACATTCTATGTTAATTTTTCTATTTTTTGATTTTTTTCACCGCCTGTACTATTCTTATGCAAACACATTTAGGCATCCTAAGAATTTTTTCAAATTGAAACATAATTTTAATTATACAGTTAATTTGAAAAATAATTGAATTGAATTTTAGACTTAATTATTTGCCCTTGATATTAAAAGAACTAATTTATTTTTTATTGATTCAAATTCTTAATATTAGCTCATCTCAAGTTTTAAATATTTAATTGTAACATGGAGGGATTACAATTATGTTATATCGTTCAAATAAGAAAATAATTATATAAGATAATTAAAGTTTAATTTATTTAAAGTACTATGAATGCTAAAACTATCTACATAGTTCAAATAAAATTTACTTAAAAAATATAAAAATATAATATTAGAACTTGTAATTTAGTTATAAAATAAAATAACAAAAAATTATAATTAAGTTCCTTAAATGATAATTGTTGATCCTATTTAGCTATTCAATAAAGAAAGAAACTCTATTCGATAAGTGTTCAATATATAACTTAAAATTGATTTCAGTTATAATGTAATTACTTCAATTCACAAGTTAACTTTTTTTTTAAAATTTAAGCAAGAACACATAATCCTGAAGCATTAAGATTTTTTTTTTAAAAAAAACAATATATTCTTAAGTTCATTCTAAAAGAAATTGTTAGCTAGATATAATTATATTGACCCGTAGATAACTTAATATGTTAATTTAATCATATATTATATTGATGGAAGAAAAATATTGAATCGTAGTTGAAGAGATCTAGTTTAAACTGTTTAGTAATTTAATTTTTAAAAATTGTGAAATTATACTTGAAGGCGATTGTCAGAAGTGGAAAATGGTAAATTCTATTACCATGTCAAGGTCGGAAAAAAGAATATTACAATGTCAAGGTGGCCAATGTGCTTTAAACCTTATTATTTGGATATTAATTTATGAAAATTCTTGTGGTTCATTATAATTCTTTTGCATTAAATACACAAATTTGTGGGTTTTTCTATTTTTTAACAATTTATATAAGGTAAGAATATTAGTTCCTAAATATTATGAATTCTTACATAATTAAAACATGGAAAGATTTAGTAACCAAAATTTGAGGATCTTAGGATCCTAAATATTAGAAAAATAATAAAATTACTATTTTGTCTATTGTGAAACTTTATTTTTAAAGGGTAAAAAAGGCGGATGACATTTCGCTAAGGGCCTTCGTACTTTTAATAGAGTATAGATATAAGGACATCTTGTTCTCCAGCCTCCTAAACTTTTCCAATCAAAATAATCATCTTGTCTGGCTAAATAAGAAGAGTTTTCTGTCCCGTCTTTAGTGTCATTGATTCTCACAAAAGGAGCTCATACTTCTTGGTACTTACTGATATAAAATTTACTTTACTGATTTGAAAAGTAAAAAGGAAGGAAAAACAAAGAGGGTGTTTGGATTGACTTATTTTAAGTGTTTATTGGCTTTTAAGCACTTTTCTAGTTTTTGTGGTGTTTGGCAATGATAAAAAATGCTTAAAAGCACTTACTTTTAGGTATGAAAAGTACAAAAATAAGCCAAAAGCTAAAAGTTGGGTATTACCAACTTATGGCTTTTGGCTTTTAGTTTATAAGCTACTTTTTAAAAGCCAATCCAAACACACCTCAAACAAAGAGAGGAGTCTCTTGGGTCCAATTCGACCCCTAAATATTCTTTGTTCAAATTTTTGTATTTCATTAATTATTAAAACAACCCCGTGCTATCTTATAAAATCTCATTCTGACACCAAAATTATCAAATTTTTCCTGAATGTATCCACTTGTAGGGTACTCAAATCCTAGATTTAGAGGTATGAGCAATTATAGGAAAATTTGGTATACTTACCATATCACATGTTAGTACCAATAGGCAGCTCAAAATTTAACATGCGCTTCATAGCTCATTCGTCTTAGTTACTTGATGGAAGAATAGCCTTTATTTTGCTTATTATCTCGTATGATAAATCACTTCTCACTGAGCTTACTTGTGATGTGGTCATTGCGTCATACCACCCGTTGACTTGTTTGGTTTTAGCAGTTTTCTGTGTTTGTGTGATACTTGAAAAGTATATATTTGTTTGTAAACACTTGAATACACATCTTGACAATCTTTAGATTTTTTCAAAAACATTTATGTGCACCATTTTCATGTAGGATGATCAGCAGGTCGTCATGAAGCGCAAAACAGAGCTTGGTGGAACTTTTTCAATAGCTAGTTGGATACTTTTTATTGGTCTGTTTGCTGCGTGAGTACATGATGTTTGTTTCTCTTTAATTTCCAGTGTCTCGCTATTCCTATCAAGTATTTGGCCCCTTTTTATCTAAAAATAAAAATAAAATCCATCCTGTTTTTTCTTTTTCTGAATAATATTCTTCCCCAGTTCTTTTTCTTCTTTACCTTCTATTCCATCCATAATAGACCCTTTTATATGCTGCCACAGTTTGCTCTACCAAATCATATCGAAGAGAGCTATTGAGATGCACAATGTGAGAGCAACAAATGCACCTGATTTAGCTGCTTTTATAAACGATTTGGAGTTTAACATCACTACCATCTCAAGTATGAGTTGCTTACACTTGCGTGGTCTCGGAACCGTGGTAACTGGGAACCCAGGCTTCGTTGACTATCGATTTGCTCCTCTGTCAACATTTGCCAACTATTCCTGTATAAACACAACTAAAGGACCAACTATCGTGCTTAAGTGCAGCAACTGTCCAATTAGTCGAGATAGTGCCTATATTTCATGGCAATTTGTTGATCTCCCAAATAGTCCTGCAACAGCTATTGGTTTTCAGTTCAACCTAACAGCAAAAGATCCTAAAAATAAGAAACATCTGAGCTTGGTCAGTGGAACACTGAGGAATGGAAGCAATTTTGATAACAAACCGGTTACATTTAGAGGGCTGACACCAAATATATTGAAGTTCAATTTTTTCCCTAGAATGTACCATAATTTGCATGACCTGAGGCTTATCCAACCACTACTTCATGAGTTTCTGCCAGGTTCATCTTTTAATGAGATAAGTCAACTCCAAGCCTCAGTTCAAAGGCCTAATGATGGACTAATCAACACGACATTATATGTCAACTTCCTATCTTCGTATATAGTTGAGATCAAGAATCAAAATGTTTTGGGGCCTGGTGAGTAACATCTTCAATCTCTCGGCACATTTGTGTATTCTTTGCTTTCAATGTCTTATCTGGCTAGTGTTTAAACCTTATGATTTTTGAATTTTCATTGTCATATACTTAAGAACTACAATAATGCATGTATTGTATAAACATCCTTTAGCTCTGAAGTCTGCTAATATCTTTCGGGTCATACTTTTGTGAGATGTGCTCGCGTTTTATCTTTTGACAAATAAAAATTCAGTAAGAAATTATCACTGTGACCATGAAGTATGTGTTGAAGTTTGGCAAAATGCCAAAGTCCCACATTGGTTGGGAGTTAAGTTTGGGGGGGATTTTTCCCCTATAAAAGAAGGCCTAATGTTTAGGATTGAAACACACCTCTCATTTGCCTTCTCATCTGTTTAAGGCATTTGTATCTTCTCTCTTTAGTATTATTTCACTTGTATTTTGGAGTGAAATAAAATATTGGTTGTGTCCGAGGAGTAGGCAAAATTAGCCGAACCTCGTAAATTCTGGTGTTCCCTTTATTGTTGCTTTATTGTCTTATTTATTATTTGGTGGCTGTCATAATTTTTGGTATAGTAGTTGTGACTTATTCACACTATATACATTTGGCTTCCGCAACAGTATGAACTATGTTAATGATGTCTTGTGATTCTGAGGAGAACTAGTACACGTTCTCAAAATTCATTTATAATGAATCTGATAGCTCTTCTCTTGTAACTCTTCTTATTTTTGCGTGTTGATTGATCATCTTCTTATAATTATTTTTAAAGTTTGTCAGTTGTCTCGAAAACTGATATAGGCGAGAGTCTTCAGCAGTTTTGTGCTTTACATAATGATGATCTGTGTTTTCCTGAATTTCCTCACCCCCCTCTTTGTCTTCTCTTTATCCTCCTCGTGTTCTCATCTTTTGGAAGAAAACAAAAGGGCGGGAGTTCTGGATTGGGTGGTTGTTAACATCTAATTATCTTCTATATGTACATCTTATGGTGAAACTACGTATTTGGTGTTCTGCAGCACCCACAGAGATATTTATTCTGGTATACATGCTTTAGTTTTTTCCCTTAGTCTGAAATGAAGTTCTTTCATTTCTTCTACTGATATTAAATATGGAGCATCGATTAGGAGGCCATGCCAAATGGTTATGGGCTTATGGTTAAGAGTCTTTTCTGCAGAACTGAAAGTTTAGCTTACTGCTTAAGATCCTAAGCCAGTTTTTTCAATGCCAAAGTTGTCCACTAGCATTTTTTCCGATGTAATTCATGAGAAGCTTTCTTCTCTGGCTAATACAGAGTGCATAATTAACATTGCACAACCTGTTAAATGTATTCAATACCAATCTTGCATATGCCATTGCTGCATAGCAGCTTAGGGCCTTGAGTGGAATGTTTTTTTCCTTTTGCCTATCTGTCACCAGTCATGAGCAACTACAACTCGTCTAGGAATAAGAAAAGACAACATAGTCTGAAACAAATGTTAATACAAAGCTGAATAAGATAGGAAGGAGAAACACTGGGCTGCGAACGCCAAGCAGCTACCTAGTCAACTCCAGAGACCTGCTGGAAGACTGATCAGCACTCGCTATCGCGACCCTAGACTCCTGGATCTGCACACAGGGTGCAAGGAGTAATGTGAGTACGCCAACTTAGTAAGTAATAAAAGTAAAGGCAGCTGAGCAGTAAGAAAACACGTAAACCACGTCATAATGCTACATCAAAACAGTATAAGTCCAGAACAATGCAGTAAAGCAATAAAACTCGTAAAAACAACTTAGTTCAGTAAAACCCTTTTAAAACATTTTTCAATAATTTCAAACGAGTGATGAAAACAGTGAGTAAAAGGAAAGAAACGTAATCAGCCCCTCGGGCAAAACATGTACCACAACCGCCCCTCGGGCAAAATATCAACAGAACCAGCCTCTCGGGCTATCTCACAATCACTCGTAATCAGCCCCTCGGGCAATAACATGAAACAACAATAGCCCCTCGGGCAATATCACATCTCACACTGGGTACCCGCACTCACTGGGGTGTTCAGACTCCGGAGGGGCTCCTACAGCCCAATCGCTATCACAAGCCATCTCGTGGCATAACAAATCAGGCCCTCGGCCGCTCATATATCACAAATCAATACACATGCTGCGGCGCGCAGCCCAATCCCATAATAATCCTCACAACACAGGCCCTCGGCCTCACTCAGTCAGAAACCTCTCAAGCCACTCGGGCAACAGTAAAACATGATGCTCAGCCCAAAATATCATTTAAAATATCAAAATGGAGTAAATACGGCTGAATTATGAAAACAGTAGAGTACAACATGACTGAGTACAAACATGAAGTCAAAACAGTGAGGAATAGTAATAAAAATCCCCTAAGGGTCCAAAACAGTTGGCACGAGGCCCAAATATGGCATTCATCCCAAAACATGGTAATACTTTCCAAAACACAATGATATCAAACAGTTTTCAATCAAATACGCGACTTAACAATCATACGGGATGGACTAAGTCACAATCCCCAACGATGCACGACCCCACGCTCGTCATCTAGCGTGTGCGTCACCTCAAAGTAGCACAACGATGTGAAATCTGGGGTTTCATACCCTCAGGACAACATTTACAATCATTACTTACCTCAATCCGGTCCAAACTCTAGCCCGTGATGCCTTTGCCTCTCGACTCGGCCTCCGGATGCTCCAAATATAACCAAAACAGTACCATACCATCAAAATATGCTAAGGGAACAAAGCCCACTCAAAAATAACCAATTTACATCAAAAATCCTGAAATTGGCAAAACCCGACCCACGGGCCCACGTCTCGGATTCCGATAAAAATCACAAAACTAGAATCCTTACACTCTCACGAGTTCATACATATCAAATACATCAAAATCCGACCACAAACGACCCCTCAAATCCTCAAATCAAAGTCTCCAATTTCAAGCCCTAATTTCCCAATTTAGGCTTTAAATCCCATAAATTTCATAACTAATTAGGTAGAAATCACCATAGAATCGAGTATTGAGTTCAAAAATCTTACCTCCAAGTGTTTCCCTTCGATTCCCTCTTCAATCCTTCTCAAAAAGCTCCAAAATCGCTCGACAGTGGTGGAAGATAGACAAAAAATCGCGAAAATGGCTATTTAAACATTCTGCCCAGGTGAAACTTCCTTCTTCGCGAACGCGAGGAGCACTAAAATCCATTGACCACTTATTCCTCCTTCGCGAACACGACATACTCCACGCTAACACGATGCTTCCACCCTCCAAGCCTTCGCGAACGCGACTGAACCTAAGCTAACGCAAAGCACAAAATCCTGGGGACCCAGCCGCTCCAACTACTCTACGCGAACGCGGGACCAACATCGCAAACGCGAAGGGCAATTCTCCTGCCTCGCTTCACATCCCTTCGCGAACGCGAGAGCCCTCTCGCGAACGCAAAGGCCAAATATCTGCAACACTGAACTGAAGAAATCTGCAACTTTCAAAACAAGAATTTGATCCGTTTAACCACCCGAAACTCACCCAAGGCCCTCGGGACCTCAACCAAACATGCCAACACATCCCATAACATCATTCAAACTTGTTCCAACCTTTGGAACGCTCAAAACAACATCAAAACATCAAATGATCATCGGATTCAAGCCTAAGAAATTCCAAAACTTTCAAATTACGCTTTCGATCAAAAAGTCTATCAAACCTCGCCCGAATGACCTGAAATTTTGCACACACGTCCCAAATGACACAACGGACCTACTTCAACTTCTGGAATTCCATTCCGACCCCTATATCAAAATCTCCACCACCAACCGAAAACCGCCAAAATTTCAATTTCGCCAATTCAATCCTAAATCTACCCCAGACCTCCAAAACTCATTCCGATCACGCTCCTAAGTCCCAAATCACCTCCCAAAGCTATCCGAATCATAAAACCCAAATTCCGAGATCGTTTATCCACAAGTCAACTTCCGGTTGACTTTTCCAACTAAAATGCCAACTTAAGAGACTAAGTGTCTCATTTCTCTACAAAACCACTCCGAACCCAAACTAACCAACACGATGTGATGAAATACAGCTGAACAACATATAAAGAAGCAGAAATGGGGGAAACGAAGCGGTAACTCATGAAACGACCGGCCGGGTCGTTACACGTAATCAGATTATACTTATCACACTGCTGATTTTCAGGCTAAACTTACTAAAAAGAATATTGAACTTGCTACTTTAATGCGCCCTTTCATATTTTAACTGCTATGTAGGATATAATACAGCTTCATACTGATATGATAAGAAAAAGAAGACTGACTTTTAGGTTTGCTTCAGAAATCTAGTGTGTATATCAAGTGCTTTAAATGGTTCATTTCATTTGGGAAGCCTTTTTTGTGGTGATGTTTTGATTATATATTCCTCTCCCAAGAGTGCAGTAAGCTTCCTTGCGGATCTTGGTGGCCTTTATTGCATCAGTATTGGCCTCTTCTTCTACATTTTGGTGCAGGTGAATTTTCTTTTCATTCTTTTTGTTACTAGTCCTGTATATTTTGGACTTCATTGTAAGATATTGCATGTACTTGTTTACGTGTACGCATCCAGTACAAGTATACGTGTAACATGCGTCTTTTGTCAACTTTCAATGCATTGTGAATAATATGCACAAAGTACCCATACTCGTGTCTCATCCGTTCGACACAATAGTCAAGGCAAATGAAGTATCGGTGTAACCCAAGTGCGGTTGAGTACAATGTGTTATCTAACAAAAAGGAAAAAGGCACTTTGTTAGCGATTTTGCTGTGAAAATTTGCTGTATTCTTGAAGTTTAGGTGCTGATGATATTGCATGGGGCTCTTAGAGTTAGTTATGTCTGCTGATTAAATCTTGGATATGAATATTATGCTTCAAATTAGAAAAGGAAAAACAAAGGTTAGGCAAAGTGTTTTGTCTGACACCGATTTCGTTGTATCACTTCAACTACTAACAATCGAAATGTTCAAGATTAAGACATTTTCTTTCTAATTTGAATAGAAGTTATTTACTTCTAGAATGGAATGTGGGTTGAAATTAAGATTGATCTGCCGGCCTGAACTTAGTGATGGAAGAAAGGAACCCTGAAGGTACTTGGAAGTTGTAAAATTCATAAAGTAACTTTAGAGTGTTTTACTTATTTTCATGGAAAATTAACCTATTTGGAGGGTGTGATTGATCCCTATGTCCATACTTTCCTACTTATGTCAATACTCCTATTTTACAGTGTGAATATAGGATCAAGAAATTACGCAATGAGGATTGTGTAATGCGGAAGGTTAGAAGTCGCCGAAAAGCTCAAGACCGCTGGGATAAAGTGAGTTTTAATATAAACAAAAGAATTCACTTGATTTCTTCCTGAAGACAATCTTTTTTTATTTTGCCAATTCAGCTGCCCTGTCTAATTTCCTTATCCTTTGCTTTGAATTTTCCACTTCCTTTTCTGATAGCTGAGGAAATATGTGATGTACACATACGCTCCTAACCAATTGGAAGAGGTGTACGACATGAGAAATGATGGTTGTTGCACAGGTGTCAAAATGGAATCACTCAACAGAAAGAGCTCTTCAGTTAGAGGAAGAGGGTCTAGCAGATTAGATACCATCAGTTTTAGCCGAAAAGTTAGCTTACCTAGTGAAAAGGTGCAGCTTTGCTGCCTCAACTTCTTTATATCAGTATGATTATATCTGCTGCTTCTTGACAAATGTCATCGGAGATCATAAACTTTTGAAGTCCTATTTTCCTTTCCCAGAGAGCCATTTCAGAGCAGATTGATACTCAAGGTGCCACACGTTTTTTGCCTGAATCTGCAGCAGATTGCCGAAAGAGTACACGTCTGAAGGAAGAAAGAGTCAGTTGCTATTTCTCTCTGATATTTTTTTTTCTTGAGGTTTCTAAATGACATTTGTATTTTGGCTACTGTCTCGACCTGATCCCACGGACCTTTTCATGTATTGGTGCTATCATTCCCTCTGTTACGCTATGATTTGGGCTTAAGACAACTTGGCAAAAGAAATATCTAAATGGTGTACATTAAATGTTTAAGTTCTTCTGTTTTAACCATACCAGGGGTGTTACAGGCTTACAGCTACTTCCTTCGATTTTGCAATTTTTGCTGTTATATGAGGTACTAAAAATGAATTGCTTTACTTTATAGAACCTTCAAGAAATATTTTGATTTGATTGCCGAATACCTGTGAGTGTCTAATTTTGCGACTTTGGGGTAGCATTTCTTTCCCTCTTCAGAAAGTGGTCTTGGACTTGTAGAAGCCGACACAAGTAGAATATGGACAAGAGACCTTTTAATGATGTTATATTTTTATGAAATTACCGATTTAACATTTAGGTGCTTCATTTCTCAAATGTTGTATCATGGTTTTAGATATTTTTTATAAGGCACGTACATATATGCTATGATCTTTTCCTGCTTTTGCTGTTAGTTCTTCCTCTACTTGACAGTACACAGTTCTTTCTTCATTTTCTGTTCTTATGCTCAATTTAGTTTGTTTCTTCTTCCCTTTTGCACACTAAGTGTTAATTCAACTTGGTTTTCATGGCTGCTTTCTTTATCTTCCCAAAGAACTGGCAATTTCACTTTTGCTTTATCTGTAGGAAGCTGTTAGACTTATCTTTTATCCTTGATACTTCAGTTTCAAGAAAATGCTGTACCTCCAAGCACGAAAGATAGTAAACCTGAAGATTTAGATATTGTTATCCAGTCTCCAGCTTTTTCTGCAGCTGACAACTTAACTGTTCCACCTCCGCCTCCATTAGGTGAGTTTGAAATCATGAGATCAGTGTTATTTATGTTCTCTTTCCTCATGCCGCCTAACATGTCAGCTGTTTGGATTTCATGATGTCGGATGTTAAGCTGCTCATACATATCATGCTTCAACCTATTTAAGCTTTTATTCAAGTTGCACATGCTATTATCAAGTGCACTATAGATTTGGTCAACATTTCTGGGTTAATGTCATGTGACAAGTATAAGATATTAAGGGTCAAGGTTATGAGAGTCCACTGTCGATGATCTTGTTCTCTTTGATTTTAATAATGTATTTGAAGATTATAAACCTCAACTATGTATGGTGACTCGTAACTTCCCGGCTGTTAAATATTTGAACAATTATTTCCTCGGATATCTGTTTTCTATCTCTGTTTCTGTGAGTTTGGTTTCAAAATGTGGTTGCATGTATAAAATTTCTGCAAGGATATGCCATGTTCCTTCTCCTTTTGTAGTGAAGCCTTCATAAATCTAAGCAACTCTAGGCTCTAGCAGATAGAACTGCAATATAAACTATATCCAAGCTTTTAGCTATTGCTGATTGTGACTGGACTGGTAGGTGATCAGTAAAATAGTGAACCTAGGAGCTTGATAGTAGTTACTTTGGGTGTTTGCTAAGCTAGTTGGAAAATCATAACTTAGGGTATCAACAAACTGTACGTCGGCAAGCTATTCTTTCTAGCATTCTGTTGCTTTTGCCTGAGAAATTGATGTCAAAGGGAAGATGTCATGTTGTGGTACCAGTTTTCTGGTTTTATAATTTTCTAGTTGAGCAACCAACTCTGCTGATGTGGGTAGGCTTTTTCCCTTTACCAATGCCAAAAGCGCTGTAGTAAATGCAACAGGAGACAATTTCCTATTTTAGTGCTAGTTGTGGAGACGGTATGTTGTCTACTCCACTATATGAACTAGTGAAGAAGTTATAAGACATCGACACTTTTTCCTTATAAAAAAAATAAGACATCCGTACTTTTATTGTCTCTTAGAAGCATCTCTCTTTAAATGTTATCCCTTAGTCTTTTTGAGGAGGGGTCGAGGTAGGCCTAAGAAGTACTGGGGAGAAGTGATTAGGTAGGACATGGCGCTGCTTCAGCTCATTGAGGACATGACACTTGATAGGAGGGTGTGGAGGTCGAGGATTAAGGTAGAAGGTTAGTAGGTAGTTTATAGTGTTCACCGATAGGCTTAGTAGCATGCATTTCCCTTCATAGTCTTTGATTTTTATTACGGTATGTGGTTTTGTTCGCCTCAGGTATTGTATTCCGTGTTGCTATTATTGGATACTGTTTTCCTTCCTTGCTTCCCTCTTCTTCTTCTTGCCCTTCCTGAGCCGAGGGTCTATTGGAAACAGCCTCTCTACCTGCATTAGGTAGGGGTAAGGTCTACGTATAGACTACCCTCCCCAGACCCCACATGTTGGGATCAAACTGGGTTTGTTGTTGTTGTTGTTGTTGTAGTCTTTTTGAGATAGAGTTCTGGGGTCTGACAAGTATCAGCGATTTTTGATTTGTAGTGTTTGTCTAAAGTAATGATGCTGCTTTTGTTCCGCAGAATCACAGGCTGCTGATCATATAAGTATGACCAATCTCCAGAAAGATCTCCAAAACCTCTACGAATACAATATGTTGCTCAGGGAAAAGTTGATTGCTGCCCAGTCAATGCTTCATGCATTAACCAACAAGGAGTCGACTTTAGCAGCTAATAATGGTGATATTATTACTAGAGAATGATTGTGCTCAATTGAAGTGGCAAGAAGACAGCTGCAACTTGTCCAAACACTTCCATTCTCTTGAATATTCTGAGAGATTCTGGGAATTTGTATTATGGAGGAAACAGGCTCAAAAACTGATTATTGAAGGATGCGGTAAGCAAATTTGTGTACATGTTGCTGACTTGGTTATCTGTAGAGTTGTGGTTGATAATGCCCTGTTAGTAGAACAAACACTGAATGCAATGCTCAAAGGTGATGAAGTACTTCTCTCTGTGCTGTACATTACAAATTCGGAGGCATTGTGACCTGAGAATCATTGCCAATGGTACTATCGATGACAGTCTTCTGTTTGTTGTATGATTTTATTACATTTAGCAGGGAGTTCATTCTTTTGGAGCAGGATTATGTTCCTTTATGAGTTAAATATCTGAGCTGGTGTAATGTACAATATGTAGGACAATGATTTAAGGAAATTTGATTACACGATATTGGTGCACTAGCGTGAATTAGCTATAATAGTTACTGGGCTATGTAAATCTACCCGAGACAGTTCTGTATTGGTACTCCTTGTTCTTGTTTCTCTTCAACTGCTTACAGTTTTCCCAGTTTCGTTTCGTCAAAAGTGAGAAAATGTAAAAGACTAGATTTTTGCAACATATTTTCGTGTTCACCAGGTCTAAGGTTTATATCCTATTGCAGTTTCTTCCACATTCATGAACGGAGTTGTTCTTTAGGCCTACTCCCATATTAGTGTTTGGAAATTTTCAATTCCTCTATCTTTGGGTACCCGATTTGAACCGTTCAGGTTATAACTAGTACGATTTAAGATGGGGGGATTTGCATCTATACTCGCTTTTTGGGTCACGTTTTAACTTGTGCTCACTTTACAAAAAAAATTGCAAGTGTACCTACTTTTTCGCGTAACTTCAGCATACGGGGCTGAAGTAGCAAAGGCAATCACGCAAAACTTCAGCATTCTAGTAGACGAGCCTGAAATAGCAAGTGTGCTGAACCAAGTGTGCTGAAGTTTTTGTTTGTAATTGCTGAACTTAAGCATAGTAGCTGAAGTTTTGTTCTCTATTTGCTGAAGTTTTTGTTTGTAATTGCACTAAATAAATTGAAGTTTTTTTGTCCTGGATTCACTAGTTTTGTCATTAAGCTTTTTTAAAAACTTCACCTGAAGATGCTGAAGGTATTTAGTTCATTTATAAAAACTTCAGCACTAAATAAGCTGAAGCTTTTTTTGTCCTGGATAAGCTTTTTCAAAAACTTCAGCAGAAGATGTTGAAGTTATTTAGTTCATTTGTAAAAACTTCAGCACTGGATTCATTAGTTTTGTCATAAAGCTTTTTCAAAAACTTTAGTAGAAGATGCTGAAGTTATTTAGTTCATTTGTAAAAACTTCAGCACTATATAAGTTGAAGTTTTTGAAAAAGCTTTTTAACATACTAGATAAATAATCATATTACCAACAATATCTAAATCATAAATTTTGGAAACAATAAATGTGAAAAGAACTGAATTATCATTGTCTACTAACTTACGTACGTGGAAATATTCACAAATTATTGTCTACTAACTTACATAATTATTTATAATTTATTTTTAAATAATCTGATAAACATATTTATGACAATCATCCCATGAACTGAAGTTTCATAGCAGCACTAATAGTAGCAGAAGAAAGAAGAAAAAGAAGAAGAAAACGAAGAAGGAGAAGGAAGGGGGCTGAAGTTGTTTAAAAAGTGGGTACAAGTTAAAAAAATTTAAATAAATGGATATAGGTTAAATGGAGGCGACCAAATAAGGTGCCCGTGCAATTTTTACTTTACGATGAGGATGGCAAATCCATTAGCATTGCACTAGTTTTGAAAGTTGACTGGCCGGCCGGAACGTGATATTCCTCAGAACGCTAGAATGGACCTATAATGGGTTATTCTAAATTTTAGTAATCTTGACGTGGATGGTGCATTTGACTATACAATTTTATGATGTATAATAATGTAGAGCCGGATCTAATACGGATTTGGCTGGTGGGTATGGATAGTTTCAGTTAATCTTGAATCCTCTGAGGGTTAGCTTCATATCCTCTAATATATGTATCTTCGGTATTGCATGATATAATAACTACGCCTCTTTCTCATGAAGTACCTACAGAATACAAACTGTTTTGAAGACTACAACATGCATATTGTTGTTGTATTCAATTCGGCAAACTTAAAGGGTTTGGAGTTTGGAGAATGTTTCCTAGACTGATTCTACAAACAACTCAAAAAATCAATCACACTTCCACTTGTTGCAGTAACATGAATGTCTTAGCACTAATTGGCTCATCGAAAACGTTTCAACGGGAATTCAGGATTTTTATTATATAATTCTACAATTACTAGCAACTTGGATTTTACGCATTTTGAGTTCAATGAACCCAACAAGTTGGACAAACTTGGTGGTTGGAACTGGTCTTCAGAACTTCAAATTGCAACCAAAATAAGATTGTAAATCTCACCGTCCATGTCCAGGAACTAGCATTAAAGATGTTTTTCGTGGTGCCAAACATTAGACTATACTGAATCTACCGTTTCAAGCAAGAATCAACCCTTACACAACTCTGGTCCTAAAATAATTTGAATCAACCGTGTTAATTTACACTAAAATGTTAGAATATGTTGATTTATCAGAAGGTCACGCAACTAATAAAAAAAGAGTTTAACTTATATGCACTTAAAGTATAAAAAAAATATTTACACTATCAGGTACTCCAAAAGCTAGCTACAAGTAATCTTAACCTACCTAATAGTGCAAATATTATTTACACAGAACGGTGGATATTAAATTAAACTCCAAAAATGATAGCTACATTAACTAAAGCCATTAGAAATATCACTGAATCCATAGAGTTGACTTTGTAGGTGAAATCAGCGTTATAAAAGGTGTTATGAGGGCGAGCCCTGGGCTAAGGAGCACGAAAAATGCCCCAAGACGATTGTGGGGACTAAAGTCTCAAGAGGCGTACACCCAGCAATTCGGGCGTACACCGGGGGTTGATGAAGCACGTTTTTAGTGAGGCGTAAGCCCAAAAGACTTTTTCAAATTAAATCAAAATTTGCTAAATAAGTCCCTAAATATAATACCCAAATTCTCAAATGTCAAGAAACATGTAATTACTCAAATTCAAATTATATCAGCTTGTAATTACTCAAGTTTTTTAAAAAGAAACTTAAACATCAAATTTTTATGTCAAGACCTTTTTTTTATTGCTAGAAATCCTAATTTATGGTCTTTTCCAATTCTTTTATCTTATTTGCTAGTCTGCTACTATCTCTCAAAAGCAACAAACAATCATTTTTTTTTTTGCAAATACAAAGAAAACTCATTCCTCTCCATACCAAGTTCAAAAGTTCGAATTGCAGGTTAGCCATCTTTTTTGTTCCTTCACGTAAAAAACTTATTCTTTTCAATTCAAGTTACTTGTGCTTCAAAGTAGCGTATAATAAATTGTTTTGACTAGTTTTTTTTAGGGCATGGAGCATATCTATATATATTTTCACTTATTTATAGCTTTCTTTATTTTTTATGCAATTTTACCTATTTAAAGATATTTATTGTAATTATATTATTTTATAAAATATTAAAAATTAAATAGCCATGGGGCTTATGCCCTGTGTCTCGGGACTTACGCCTCGCTGAGGCATATGTAAAACGCCTAACCTTACCTCACACCTTTTAAAACACTTGGTAAAATGAAAAAAATGGAGTGACATTTTAGTTTGACTTTATAAGTGAAAATGACAAAAATAGTAATGACTTTTCCGTTATAGAACAAAAAAAAAAAAAAAGACTTAATTATACAATTTTCATTAGCTGGATGACCTTATGAGAAACCGGAATGCAGTCAACATCTACTTGTTAAATAAGGTGATATATCTCTGTAAATTATGTGTTTGAATATATGTAATACTTGTGCTGTCATCCTAGGCCCTTTAATGGCAGGGCATTACGATAATATTGTTCAAATCTATTTATTTTGTTTTGCTTCGATTATCCGAATATATTTGGGAAACTTACACAAATGTCCCAAATAAATCTCAACTTACCAATCTCTAGCCATTAATTATAAACTTATCAAAACTGCCAACAAAAATTGAAAAATCAAATAATAGGATTCTTTCTCTCAAAGAATCACATGCAAAAATCACCTTCCATATTTGTAAGCGTGATTAGCAACACTAGATACAAGACGGAAAAGAAATTTTATGGATGAGGTAGCAAATAAGGTAATGAAATACAAAAATATACAGTATTCCAAAAATCTAAACAAAAAAGGAACTTTTTCAATGGGTATAGTTGAAATTCATTGAAAATATATAGATAAGTCAATATACAAAATTTGAGGAAGATTGGAGGTGATTTGGACTGGTTTTGTATCAAAATTCGTAATTAAATAGAGTTCAAAAAAGTCTTCTGCGACACATGTATCAAACATGTATCACGCATGTATCTCACACACAGATATACATGGATATACATGTGATACACAATAGATAAAATATGATACATATGTGATACACAAATGATACATAGTGTGATACACATATCATTTTTTTCATGTTCAGTTTTTACCGAATTTTCAATTCAAACCACCTCAAAACTTCACCAAATCATTTCAAAACTAGATTCAAGCTCCTTAAATTGTGCCCAATCTATTCTAATAACACCCACTCAAAATAAAGCAAAAATTTGATATTTTTGCTACAAATAGCTAATTGGCTAATTTGACTAATATTAGTAATATTTTATCAATTGACCAACTTTTGTAATGAGCTACCTATAAATGAACCTAACTGGTAATTTCCCAATATATTTAGGTTTTGGCTTGGTTCATTCTGTAGCCCTATAATACAGAACTTGTCTTATTGAGATTATGACTTAATAATTGAATATATAGATGCTTAATGTCTGTATGTTTTTAGATTATTGATGAATTAACAAAGAGAATTCAATACAATCAAAGGTAAAGTTAACGCCGGCTAATTGATCTGCATTATATAATTTTGAAAGAACTAGGTTTTCAGTTCTTTTCTAGACACAATTTTTTTTAGGCTCAACATTGTAGGTAATCAACTAGATTCAATTTAATTAGTAGCTTGAGAAACCATGTGGAGAGGTATTCCGCTTTTATATTTTTTTTTTTAAAAAAAAACCTTTGTGCAATTACCTCACAAATAATGTCCTAAAATATATACATGTGCTCATATTTTCCAGACAACCACTGAAATGAGTAATTTTTCTTGCAAAATTAAATAACATTTCCAAGTCCAAGGTTTCAGTTTCTCATAGACAAGTTCTGTTTGCTATCTTAAGTATATCATAGCAAGGTTAATTAGGTGCTAATAACCTAATAATATAATGACATTTGATACTAATTTGCTACTGTTACAAAATCAATTCATAAAAAAGCTCTTTGAAACAAAGGGGTTAGTTTTTGTTAAGTACAGAGATTTGGAGAAGAAATGACAAAACTAAAGTAAAAGTTCACGAGTTGAGAGAAGTTTCGAGAGAAGCAGATATCTTGTATTGAACAAAATGAAAATCTGTATGTTTACAATAGGGAAAGTCACTTATAAATAGTGGGCCTTGACCCGGTGATCCAATTACA